TCGATACGACGATGAGCTCATCACGACGTTGGAGAAGTGGGAGAAGCATACACGAGATGAGAAAGGGAGATTGGGTCTTCGCAGACCTGGCTCTGAGCGTATGGAAACTGAGAATGGGGTGGAGGAACTGGGTGATATATTCAGGGATGGGAGGTGGGATCAACATAAGATGGTTCGCAGTTTTGGGAGGTTGGGTGAAGTTGGGGAGGCTACTCGTACGGAATCTCGCGACACCGACAAGGTGTGTCATCTTCTTACTTGTCTCGGGCGGGCAATTGATCATCAGTTATTGTTATGTAGGATGAAAGGATACTGACCTATACGTTACGCCCTCTTTCCGGTGAACGATGGGAAAGCATCAAGGAGGACATGAAGGAGCATAAGCAAAGGCAACAAGCCTCTGAAGATTCCAACCTTTCGGAAGATGGGAACCAGTCCGTATCTGACTCTGACTGTCAACCTTCTTCACCTCTGGGCACTATCGCTGCAGCCTCATCAAGTCAGGAGCAAGGCGTAGTTCTCGATGCAGAGCGCGAAGTAAGAATCAAACTATACATGGGCCAGGTAAGACTCTTGCTCCCTTCTGTTCCCCCGCAGCAACGGTATACTTATATTGCCTAGGTATTTATGGGTTGGGTATGGCTCATCCCAGCGTTCCACATGCCAAGTTTGAACAACAATGACGGCAAATCAACCGCGACACAAACTCAGACTACGCTTGTGCGTAAAGAAATAGATTTTGCGATTGGTCTAGGAACTGGGATCATCGATGTCGAAATCTCTATGGAATGGATTGTACCACCTAGTGTTCGGCAACAAGCTGAGGCCATCCTCGTTCCGGGTCCAGTGAAGAATGATGAAGTTGACACTATTCTACCCGATCCTCCGGCACATGCACCAGCAGATGATCCAGAGGATGAACTGGCGACGATTTGAGTCGACCACTGGAACGCAATCAAATATCGGTAGTAAAGTCATCTGAAGCATCGCGGCGACACTAGGGACTTAGGCTTAACATACATGGCCGGGTATTTTGTATTTTCAGACAGTTTGTCACATACTCCACTCTCGCCTTGTAGGACGGTGTTTATACCCTACACGTAGACCTAATCAGAAGTTGTACAGACGAAAGCCATAGCTACATTATGAGGATTATCTTCGACGAAACGCATTCACGGCACGAATTGTATTGAAGACCCGGGACCATAACGACGAGCCCGTCTTCCGCACGTCCCTCTCAGTGGTGTTCTCCCCCTCCCTTTGTATCCGGTCCACCTCGCTGAGCAGGGCTAGTATGATTCCTGGTTCACCCCCCCCACTCAATTCGTCTTTCAGTCGAGTAAACAAGATGTTCTGCCTTTCTAATGGTTCTCCGATTATGTTAGGCACCCATTGGCCTACTTCAGTTTGCAGCGATTCCTCGTGGTTCTTAATCCATCGCCGTGCAGTGCCCACGATGATAATATAATCGATAATACGCCAAGCGGATGCTTGCGTATTCTCGAAACGCCGGGTCGTTGATTCCCTCTCGATCATCCCCCTCCAGTAAGTACCCTTGAGTTCCCCCTCTCGTGCGACGCATATTTCCCGCTCATCACTTCCGACTTCGGGCCACATCGTTGTCGTGAGGATAATCTTCTCCAAACCTCCTCCACATAGTTCCTTAAACATAGTGAGGTTCCTGAGAGGTGTGGCTCCCATACGATTGTCGGAAATGCGGTGTAGATAAAGGATTCCCGCCAACTTCGAGCCGGCTCTCCTGTTGAGTAGAGATTCGAGAAGACTGAGCCTCGAGCAATGAAGGAAATGGATTATGCGCGCTCACATGGATTTAAGCCAATTTCCGATTTTTCCAAGGACTTGCGTGTCTGACAGGTTTGTGTCATCAAAGCCGGGAGTGTCTAAGAGGACGATGTGTATGTTATCCTTGAAGGAAACACGTATTGCACAGACTTCCTTCGTGTGTGAGTCGAGGCTATGACCAACGCCTTCCTGGTATCCGCGATTTATTGCCTTTTGAATGAACTACAACTGTATGAGCATGTCCGTAAATTGAACATGGCTTTCCCCCACATTACTCTTGCCAGCGCCTGTTGGGCCCATGAGACTAACAAATAATATTTGAGCACCATGGGCAACATGCACACCAAGTCGGATGACGGACTTACGCAATTATTGTATCGTCGCGCGCTAACTCTGAAGCATTCTTCAGGGGTATAGCGGAGGAAATCCTTTGGCCTATACGTTGTCGAAAAGCGCGTGGTAGCTGCCCATTCAGACCTCTTTCGCTGAGTGCCTTCGTCCATGTGTGGGAGATCTAATGCCATATGGGTGGATCGAATCAACCAGAAACACGATCAAAAACCGTGCCTAGTACATACATCTCTAGGAATGGATCCTTGTGAATCTCTGCAGGTATGTCATGATGGCCGCCCAGAAACCCCAGAAAATGTCAGTATTACGAACTTGGATAGCAGGCCAGGGGGTATCATCACCTCGCGCCAATTGACTGGGAGGAGCTATGGGATTGCATAGCCCTTGATAGGCTGGTTAGAGAGGAGGGTTGTCCGCCGGGGGTGTTGGAGACAAGAAGATCTATCTGACAGGCCTTGAGGCATCCTGCTGGCTTATACGTCATCGGTGTTAACGCAGCTATTCTGGATTTCAGCGCCAAGTCTTTTCCCAGACCTGGTCGCTATAACCCCGAACATTCTGCTTACGGACGTGGATGGTTGTCTTCGGGCCTGCAAGTCGCTCAAAATCTGTGTAGTTCAGGGTTTAATGCTATAATGTGAAAATAGTACGAGAAACTACTGAGGCCTCGGAACACAGGTATGTATCAGCTTAATAATATACATTACGAAGAAACTGTCTCCGGCGGGGTATCCAGCGGTGGGCGGGAATTTCTATTATCGACCACGTCGACCATCGATGGGCTCTGGTCGCCGGGGGCTCCCGATGGACCAGCGGGCAATGGCTTCCCGTCTGTGTCTGGCATGTCCCATGATTCGGATGACCGGGTTTGACCGTGTTGTTCTCCCGGGTTTGTGGATGCTGGACCAGGGGATTTAAGTGGCACCGTAGGTTTCGATGATCGGGCTCCTATTTACAATAATTGTGTCAGTTATCGTAGTATAAACTCAGTAAAGGCGTGTGCTGACGGGGAGGGAGGGTGAAAATTCGTCGTAACTTCCCCAATAATGTCGGATTCAGCTGGCGCATATCCTTCATGGCTTGCTCTCGTTGCTTTCGTAACTGCCCCAGATCGGTGAGGAGTGCCTCCACGACCACAGCGTCACCAGCTTGTCCCAACTCTTCCCGCAGCCGCCTTAGGATATCATTCTGCTTCTCTACTAGCTCCTCGATGAAACCATGGAGTTGTATTCCAGCTTCAGTTTTCGGGAGCTTCTTTCCTTGATCCACGAGTTCCTCTTGGATTTTAAGGACTGCAGAATCAAATCGCCTACCAAATTCGGCGTCAATGATGGAGTTAAGAATGTTCCAAGCGGTCTCTGGTGTGTTCTCGAAACGCATAGTTGTTGACCCTCTGCCAATCATGTCCACCCAGTATTCCTTCCTGAGCTCCCGCTCCCGAGATTCGCATGCCTTTAGCTCATCACCGATTTCCGGCCACATTGTGGTTGTGAGAATCACCCTTTCGAAGAAAGTATCTCCACATAGTTTCTTGAACATGCCGAGGTTCTTCAACGGCGTACCTGCCATACGATTATCGGAAATGCGATGCAAGTAAAGGATTCCCGAGAGTTCTAAGCTATCTTGTCGACTTGGTGAAAGTTAGGCTTAACTTGGGATTGATGTTTTCGGAAACGTACGCATCCTTAAGCCATTTTGCGATGATATTGAGTACTTCTAGATCCGACAACTTCGTATCGTCGAAGCCGGGGGTGTCGACCAGAACAACGTCCCTGCCATCAGGAAAATTCATCCGCACAGCAGAAACATCGCTTGTACATGATTCAAGACCATGTCCGACACCGTCGGTGTGACCTGTCGCCGTTTGAATGAACTGTTATTGGATGAGCCTCGCTCGAAAGAAGGAGGTGTGGCGGCCCCTTACAGTACTCTTGCCAGCTCCTGTTGGTCCCATAACACTTGTGGCCATATTAGATCAGGTTCCAAGGCATTCTCAGACTCGGGCTTACACAATAATAACGTCTTCCCGTGTCAAATGTGTGTTTTGAATGGAAACGTCGACAGACTCAATGTTGAGGTATGTACGTTGCTTGGGGATTATCGGACTCCCTGGGGGCAGGCTCGAATCATCTTTGTTCTGGTCTCCTTCGGTCAAGACGTTCGGTGAGTTGGTCTGAGAAGCAATTATACGGTTACTTATTGGCAGCCTTGACTGGGCAAAAGCAGCTCGACATACAATGACCTGGAGGAGTGATTTGATCCTTTCACTTGTCCGCGATTCGCTTTTACCCCAGGAAAAATAAATGGAGGTGTCAGGAACCAGGACTGGGACAGTAAACAAGAAAGGCGCCACCTCGTATTGCTTAATAGGGAAGCTCTCCTTGTAGCTTCTTGCTTGCCGTTTCGACTCCGCTCTGAAGACATGAGCTGTAGAGGTTTACGAGGAAAATCGGGATGTTCGTTGTAAGCAAGGACCTAATGGCCTCGTGGCTTTATGCATCGAGTCTCGTGCCGCTGATGTTGAAGATCAGCAACGTTGTAAACCTGATCCGGCACAAGGGCCAGTCCGTTTTCAATAGGGCGCAATACTAGAATTCTAGAACCATCAGCTAATCCGGTACCCGAGAATAGACATAAGCAGTTATGGTCGCTTTGTCGGGGCCAACAACGCCTGACGCTTAAAGGAATGTTTGGAAAGTTGAATATCTGAGTCTCCCACGTGGGGGGCGCTTATCCTCGCTTATCTCAGGCGCTTCTCGGTTTCAGAGCAAGCCTTATGAGTCAATCAGGATTTGTCCAAAACATAGACCTTTATGCGAATCTGAAAATAACAAGATACACCAAATCTCTCTGTCGGGGAGTTGAACCCCGCTTTCGCGCGGCCAAGGAAGATTTCTATGACAGGCGCGTGTACTAACCGATATACTAACAGAGATTGATATCTGGGATAAATCTGCTGCCATTCCGATCCCAACAAGCCTTCTCAGCACTGGGGTTGGCGGTGACTTACAAAGGTATAAACGTAGGGCCTGAGTTGACATTAGCGAAACAAGAGAGGTCAGGAAGAAGCGGGAGCACTCTGACTAAAAATAGCTAAGCATCATAGTACATCACCACCTGGTGGGCAAGCCAGACCAACGGCAGCCAAGACTAGCCAAGGCAGGAATCGTGGCAAAGTCCGTGATAAAGTGCTACACAAACACTAAAATAGTGCCATAATCTTCACACACGATCTTGCGCCGAGAAAAAGCACAGGTGGGGTCTCCGGACATGTTCGTAGACACCAGCAGTAGCTGAGACACGGTAACGAGCATCCACAGATTTGTCTGAAACGATGGAGTAGCGCGTCGAGTTTCTCCATAGACATTTGCGCCTACTTCATGAACAGCCAAGCATGATAGAGATCCCCGATAACCCCGGAGGCACACGTGTGTTGGTGTTGGGCTTTTAAACTACATAAACCAAAGGATTCCTTCGAGCCCTTCGCTCTAGCTTCGCCAGTCTGTCCACAGATAGTCAGAGCTACTAGGTAATGAAGAAATTCATCACCAGAGGGAAAAATTAGATGGCATGACGTAACGAAGCCATGAAACAAACCGAAGCATGTTGTATTATTCCTGTGCGCCGTGCGACCAACAGCATACGTCTTGACGATGTGTGATGTCTCCGTTGCCCTTTATCCCCCTCCCCCACACCACGACCTTGCTGGAGAGGACGGCTCAGTTGTGGCCTGTTCCATATCTGAATCAACTCTAACACTGATCTAGTTTGTGCAGCCCTGCAGTGCGGTGTTCTCAACTTGTTGTCCTGAGCGCTTGTCGGAAGCTTAGTGTGCTGCGCAGCTCCATCCTGCTTCGGTTGTACCCATCACAAGCTACTTACTTCTCCCGGCTTTCAACGCTTGATACTCGCGAACCCGCCCCTAGCGTTCAACATCCGACACCACCAGACACACAACTAACCCATATTTGGCCGACACCAAGCGAGCGCCGGCGATGCGGACCCGTCTATTGCACACCTTCCTCCAGTCCCTGCTCATCCTCTTCTCCTTCTGGCTTTCACTCATACGAGTTGGCACATCCGCCTCGCCCGTACCGCTCACGCGTTTCCACGCTCGTCCACTCCCACTACAACGACGCACACTTCATCAACTACGTTCATCATCACTGCACCTAGAGCCACGAGTACCTCCATCTCCGCCCCCGAACGTGCAAGATCTAGACCCAAACCTACCTCTCGCAGCTGCATACAACCTCAAATTCAAAAAATACTCACAGTGGATCAAAGAACAATCCAAATCCTTATGGGATTCACACAAAGACAAAGTCAAGGGAAGAGGGAAGACCAACGACTACGTATCCCCATTCTTGACACGTTTTTCCGAAAAACATGATTCGTTGTGGTCGACACTTGATCTCGGGAGGATGTGGAAGCATTTTATATGGGAGGCTCTACCGGAGTGGTGGAGAGGTCACGACGCGCCCATGTATGTCCCCTCGTATCCCAGCATTTTCCGCTTTATTCATCTTCAATTGTGATGGGCAGAGAGGATGTTTTCCTATTGCGGGCAATGGAACAGCCAGTGTACATGTCTGTAGATGAGCTGCCGGAGATGTTTAGAGTCCAGGTGTCGGTCCAGGAGGAGGAAGAAATCAAGGACGGTTCCAGGTACTACCAACCGCAGCAATGATGGCGAATATAACGACGTGAGTGGTTCGCTAAATCCGGCGGTTATTTGACAAGAACTCGTGATCTCATCCTTGTGCTGTTTTTCAGGACCCCAAACCACGCATCGGATACGATCGAGTGTCCACTCTGATGATCTACTGGAATTATTACGACTGCATGATTTAGAAAGATTAGATTAATTTTTGTATTATATACTGAGTAATTGCTGTTTGGACAAAGTGCGTTATATTGAGTCTTGCAGGTGAACAATCATTAATTCGCCAATACTGTATATAGCAACGGGACCTCGGGGTCTGTGGGGCGCTATCAAGTACTCTGCTGGATCTGTATTGCCAAAATAGAGAAGAAAATCAGTTTCCGGCCGGTTGAATAGCCTTCAAATCGTCACATACGCGAGTCAAAATCTCAAGTGCGCGTTGATAATCAGCCTCCTCTTTCGATTCAGCCTTCCTTGCCCTCCAAATGGTATGTCCATCCTTAGATCCGGCAGGAGTTCTGGGGCGATTGTCGGGAAGGTTCAGGCCCTCGAAGAACGACTGTAATTGTTTGCAGGTGGGCCGATCCTGGGGTACGTAATTCCAGCACTTCTTCATAAGATCCCACATCTCGTCTTCTACATGGTCGGGGTCATCTGGTGGCGGTCGGAGCGGAATTGCTACCCCTTTCATGAGGATAGCCATCAAGGTTTCTTTCCTATGGACTTGATAGAAGGGTATCCGGCGTGTAAAAACCTGGTAGGTCCTTTGTGAGGTTGAAACGCGCAGGAGAGAGCGAAAAATAATATGCCTCATAGCAAACACAACCAAACGACCAGATATCACTTGCCGTCGTAGGTCGTGGGTAATCTTTACCATCGACAACTTCACCGACAATCACATCAAACAGCTCAGGCGCACTCCAGTTTATAGTACCCTTGAACGACGCAGTGCCAATCGCACTCGTTGCAACGTGCGAGATTCCGAAATCGGCGATTACTGCTCGTTTATCACTGGAGACAAGGACATTCTGCTGCAGTGGGGGTTTGTCAGTCATTAGCTGCCATGGTCAACAAGCGTACCCCTTTGAGATCACAATGCACGATCCCGAGTTCGTGCAAGTAACATAGACCATTGACAATATCGGAGACCTGAGGGCGCTGGTGAGGTTAAGGACTGTACCGTATCAACTCACTCACCAGAAGCATGCGAAGGTCCCGAGGGTGGTCCTTCTTCAAAAAATCACAAAGATTACCGTTTTCCATCCACGGAGAGACAAGGCAAGGCCATTGAATCCGTGAATCAACGTAGACTCCGTAAAGCGGTAACACATTCGGATGAGAGAGATGGGCCCATAAGGCAAGTTCCTCGGCATATGCCTAAGTAGGGGATGAGCCTTGAGACCATGCAAGGCAACGAAAACACCCACAGAAAGCAGCTGGGGCTCATCTCCTTGATATGCAGAGACGCGAACAATCTTAAGGCATATGCTCTTGCCTTTGTACCGCCCTCTATAGATGTCTGCGAAACCACCTGCTTCGAAAGGCTTGGTGTCATACTGGACTCCTTTAAGGTTGTAGCATCGTGGAAAAACACAAGCTATTCTTGCCAGTTCGCGAAGTAATGACAAGATCCGCTTCCATTCGTCAGTCCGAAGCATGTTTGCCCCATGAAGTATCTTCCGAAACCGTCAGCCGATGCTCTTATATGATATAGCGAATGATAACTGGCGTACGTCGTCAATAACTTCAATAATATACTTGGCCTCGCCCGAGCTCTGAAGTTCAGTCAACAAGACTGCGCGCCTCTCCTTGTCCACGATGATGTCTAAGATCAGGCTTGCCAACAATTCCTGATCCTGTTGTTGATCTGTAGGTGTTGGTACTTTTTCAGGACGTCGGGGTGCCTATTCACAGTGGTGTCAGTGGCGTAGTGACGTGAACCCATGAAGGTGCATACTGACGGGACGAAGCTTGAAATTGTTAATGAGCTGGCGTATCTTCCCGAACGACGTTGATTCCGGCTGGCGTTTGTCCTTCACAGCTTGCTCTCGATCTCTCCGAAACTGACTCAGCTCGTCAAGAAGAGCCTTGATGATGGCGGGATCAGCGGTTTGCGCGAACTCGGTCTTCGTTCGACTCAGTAAGTCGTTCTGCCTCTTGATCAGCTCTTCGACGAGGCCGTAGGGCTGTTTTCCCGCCTCGGTATCTCGCAAATTCTTGTTCTGATCTACGAGTTCGCGCTGGAGTTGAAGGATTCCGGGGGTGGGCTGTCTGTTCGATTTGGCTACGATGATAGGGTCGAGAATGCTCCAAGCCGACGTCTTCGTGTTCTCAAAACGCGAGATTCTTGATCCTCTGGCAATCATCTCTGCCCAGTGTTCCTTCATGAGCTCCTCCTCCATTACAATGCATGCCTCCTGTTCACCGCCGCCGACTTCTGGCCACATTGTTGTTATAAGACTGACTTGTTCAAAGAAGTCTTCTCCGCATAGTTTCTTGAACATGGCGAGGTCCTTTAGCAGGGTGCCTCCCATGTGATCTAAAATGCGGTGCAAGTAAAGGATTCCTGAGAGCCCTAAGTCTTGTTGTCGACTGTAGAAAATTAGGTTCAATAGCGCTGGATTTTCATAAACATACACATTCTTAAGCCATTCAGCAATGATATTGAGTATTTCTAGATTGGAGAAGCAGGTATTATCGAAACCCGGTGTGTCAACGAGCACGATGGAACTGTTGTCAGAAAATCTCATCCGCACAGCGGAAACCTTGCTTGTACATGATGCAAGACTGTGCCCAACACCGTTAGCACGACCCGTTGTTGTTTGAATGAACTACGGTCGGATGAGCCTCGCTCAAAACGAGAAAGTGTGTCGTTCCCTTACAGTGCTTTTGCCGGCCCCTGTTGGTCCCATAACGCTGGGGGTCGAGTTAGATTATGTTCCAATGTATTGTCAGAGTTATACTTACACAATAATTACATCTTCCTGCGTCAGCTGCGAAATGTCGACAGACTCGGTGTGTGTGTGTTCACTGGTGATTGTCATAGTTGGGCTTTTCGGGGACGAATGCGCTTCTGCATTCAGAGGGTTTGGCGACTCCTTGTCTTGAGCTGTATCATTCTCGCGGGGGTCTGTTTGGGCACCTCACTTGCCCGGAGTGACTGGTGACTGACACAAGACAAAAGAACCAGAGGCGTCAGGAGCCAGGTCCGGTACAGTTAGCCAAAAAGCGCACCTAATCTCGTCCACTCCGGTTCCTTGCTCACTGTC